ATATGGTTAATATTTTGTTATGTTATATATTTGTTATATATGTTATAATATTATGTTATGTTAACCACCCCCACCCCCCGCATGCTCTCCAGACGACCGAGGTTCTCTCCAAGGACACTGTGAACACCTAAAGCCAAGCTGAGGGCATAACCATATGCTCTGGTTTAGTCTTGGTGGGGAGAAGAGGCCAGAAATCCTTCTCTGAGTTGGGTCCTGCCTGACTCACTCAGCTTCTGATCAGGACTGGCGTCTCACTGCTTCTCTGAGGAGTGGGCACACCCACAATTCCTACCCTGCCAGAGTGCAGAAAGTGATATCTGATATCCTGCCAAACTGCTGAGAAATCAAGCTTTTCCCACTTATTTAGAAACCTAGGTTTTCCCTTTCCTCCTAAGTTGTACTTCCAGCCCACCATCCTTTACACCAAATACCAAACACCAAAGTCATCATGAGTTAATCTCAGCAGCTGGGTGGTGCAGTGGACAGAGCACTGGACTTGAAGTCAGGAAGACCCTGAGTTCAAAGCCAGTTTCAGGGCCAAGCTATTATAATAAAAATGACAATACTCCCTAAATTAATTTACTTATTCAGTGCTATACCAATCAAACTAACAAAGGATTACTTTGTTTGTTTGTTTTTTGGCTAGGCAATGCGGTTAAGTGACTTGCCCAGAGTCACATAGCTAGTAAGTGTCAAGTGTCTGAGCCCGGATTTGAACTCGGTCCTCCTGACTCCAAGACCAGAACTCTATCCACCGCACCACCTCGCTGGCCCCAGGATTATTTTATAAAGTTAGAAAAAACAACAAAATTCATCTAGACAAACAAATGTCAAGAATATCAAGGAAATCAAAGAAAAAACCGGGATGGGTGCCCAGCATTACTGGATTTCAAACTATACTGGGGGCACCTATGTGGTGCCGTAGAGGCTCCGCAGCTGGATCCACACGACGACCTCCCCAATTTTAAAGAACTCCTGATGAAACACACCACCCACCTCATGACAGAGAAATGGCGCACTCACAGTGTGGACTGAAGCATATTTTGTTCTCTTACTGCCTTTCTCTTATTTTTCTTGTGTGTGTGTGTGTGTGTGTGTGTGTGAAGAACATGGCTAATGAGGACATTTGTTTTGTATCACTGTTCATATTTATAATAGGTTTTGTTTTTCATGCCTTCTCAAAGGGTTCAGGAAAAAGGGAAAAAGAGAATTTGAAAATGAAAATTAAATTAAATTTTAAAAAATCCAGCCTCAGACACTTATTAGCTGTGTGACTTGAGACACATCACTTAACTTCTGTTTGCCTTAGTTTCCTCAACCTTAAAATGGGGATATTAACAGGGTTGTTGTGAGGATTAAATGAGATATTTGTAAAGGATTAGCACAGTGCCTGGTGCTTAATAAATGCTGGTTTCCTTCCTTCCTTGTCAGCACCTGATCTCCCTAGAAGGCCTCAAAGCCCAGAGAATTCAATTAAATTCAACTCAACGATCAGTTATTAAGATTTACTATGTATTTTACACTGTGGTGGGTGTGGGAGATAGAAAAATGCAAGACACAATTCCTGTCCTCAAGGAGCTTACATTCTTACTGGAGGATACTTGCATGTTATAGAAAATTATAATACAAAATAAAATGAGGCAGAGGAGAGGACAGCTCCAAAGTAATCTAGGAAAATATAAGAAGGAAAAGGGCACTTTTGGGCTGGGGGTAGGGGGAGGGAAGACTTTCTGGAGGAGGTAGCACCTGGGCTAAGCTTTAAAGAAAGATAAGGATTTTGAGAGGCAGAGACATGAAGAGACTTGTGGAGACCCAATAAACAGAACTGAGGGATATAACGTCGTTTTGGAAACTGATAGTGGTATGGTCTGACTGAATACACAGAATCAAACACTATGACGTGTGCAAATAGAATAACGCAAAATAAGGCCGGGAAAGGTGGGCTGGTGTCAAATGGTGAAGGAATTAAAATTCGAAGGTAAGAAGTTTGCATTTTATCCTATATGCAACAGAGAGCCTGAAGGCTTTTTTTTCTTTCCTTTCTGGTGAGGCAATCAGGGTTAAGTGACTTGCCCAGGGTCACACAGCTAGTTAAGCGTCAAGTGTCTGAGGTCACATTTGAACTCAGGTCCTCCTGACTCCAAGGCTGGAGCTCTATGCACTGCACCACCTAGCTGCCCCATCCGAAAACTTCTGAGTAGCAGTGACAGCCAGACCTATGCTTCCTTAAAAAGCTCCACTGAAATCTAAAATACCAACCCCTTGCACCCAATATTTCTACTGGAATTTTGTTTTAATCCATAAGCACATAAGAGAGCACCTGCCAGATTCCAAAGTTTCACTAACTGTCCTCACCCTGAAAATTCACTTCATTACCCTGGCAAACCACATGAAATGTACATTATAGGATCGGACAAAAAAGCTTATCTCCCAAAAATAAGTCAAAATTCCTAAAAATGAGAAGATACAGAATTCTCCTTCCTTTCTTATTGTCCACATTGAGTGTACCCCTTTTATTTATTTTACTTATTTATTTTTTGGTTAGGCAATGGGGTTAAGTGACTTGCCCAGGGTCACAGAGCTAATAAGTGGCAAGTGTCTGAGGTCACACTTGAACTCAAGTCTTCCTGATTCTAGGGCTGATGCTCTATCCACTGCGCCATCTAGCTGCTCTGAGTGTACCCCTTTTAAACTACACTCCAGAACCTACACAGGTAAGATAACAGTTCTAGGTGGAAAAAAAAAAGGCTCACCTGGTATCCTCTAGGGAAACCTGACCAGATTCTTCATCCACCACTATTTTACAGTGATCTCCAGACACCAATTTGTTGCCAGGAAATGAAAGGTCACAACCTGAAATAAGGATTTTAGGGGGTCAGGGGAAAGCTGTTATTAGTGTTTGCTATTAATTATAAAAGAATAATGTCCTTTTCTTAGTCAAGGTATTTGATTCTAAGGCAAGCTTCTACTTTGATATATGGAGGAAAACATTTTTATTCAAGTACATTAAAGCACCAGACAGTTCATAGCTACAAAAAAGTAAAAAGGTTTAATATGTTATTTAGTTTTCTAAGTGAGCCTTGAATTTTTTACTTCTGGTTTAAGATCCTAAATTTCAAAACTCACCATTAAATCCAGCTGTAACAAAACGATCACACAAAATTCAAGCTAGATTACGCTAATGAACATGAAAACTGTTAAAAATTTAAAAAGAGCCATAATAAATATTCACCTTTCCTGGGACTAATCAATACTCAACCATTTTTTCCCCTTTAAAATGTTAAAGCTAAGTTAGATTATTTCCAAAAGAAAAGTATAAAAGAAAATGTCAAACTGATTTGGAAATGATTTAGTGTTGGAGACATGGTTGGACACAACTCAACGCTATTATCAGTTTCCTCCCTAAGTCAGCCCACAGACATCATCTCATGAACAGAACCTATCTGTCATGCTGCCCTTGAAGTCCAAATTAGTTCCTACCTCCCTCCCCTTCTCCTACTCTATCTGTAGACCACATATCATACAGTGGGAAGAGCACTGGACTGGGAGTTCAAAACTTGTCCCCGCCACTCAGTAGGTCACCTTGGTCCTCTGAGTTTCAGTTTTCCGACATACTTAAGTGTTAAGAGAAAGGTGGTTCATTACCTCTAAAGGACTACAAATATTCAGAGGTTAGTTAAACCTGCTATCTCCGATACGGTCTGCAGCAATCTAGTAATTGGCTGTGTCACATTAACCACAATTAACCACGAGTCATCTTAAATTCAACATGGTTGAAAATGAAATCATCATTCCCATTAAACCCTACCCCCTTCCAAATGCTTCCCTATCTAAGCTAGGCTATCGCTCAGACTCCTCACTCTCTTTCACCCCACATATCCAATCGATGACCAGTGCTTGCTGCTTCTCTCTTGGTCTTCTTTCATCTGACTCCTTTTCTCTAAGCATCCAAGCACCCAAGCATCCAACCACTACCTGCCTCCAGGACTTCTCACCTCTTACCTAGTTTATTACAAGTTCCTTATTAGTCACCCTACCTATAGTCTCCTCCTATTCCAGTTTATCTTCCCCTCAGTTGCCAAAGTAATTTTCCTTAAGCACAGATGTGACCAAGTTCTCCCCTACTCAATCAAATGCAACGGCCTCTTATTGCCTCTAGGATAAACTCCTCCATTGGACTTTTAAAGCCCTAAAAACAGTGGTGTCAAACTCAAATAGAAACAATATTAACTTAGAAAACCATGAATACAAGTTATCTATGTTGTACTGTATTTTTATTTATTCTGTTAAACACTTTCCCAAGTACATTTTAATCTGGTTCTGTTGGCCTAGGCCCTCTACAATCTGGCCCCAACCTATCTTTCCTGTCTCCCTGAGTGTCCCTCCCCTTCCTGTTCTCCGAGATTCAGCTAAACTGGTCGGTCTTCTCTCTGTTTCCAGCACACAACCCTCTATCTCTCACAGATGTACTTTGGCCTGGGCGTCCTTCTTATCTCTGCCTCCCCATCTTCTTTGAAGATGCAGTTCAAGCATTATCTTCTGCATGAAGCCTTTCCTGAGCCTCTAAACTGCTAGTGCTCTCCCTAATTACCTTATATTTAATTTTGTATTTATTAACTTTATATTTATTCTGTATGTGTTCTTATGTGTACTTGTCTCCTCTGCTAGAATGTAAGCTTCTTGAAAGTAGGGATTATTTCATAATAAATACTTGTTGATTGGGTGAGTGATGATTCTCCTATAACTGGCCTATGTTTTATTGCTGAAGATATCAGAAGCAATGGATTTCAAAAAATTAGTTGACTAGGCTGAATGTTTAAGAGGAAAAACTTCCTCCTTTACACCTATCCCCTGGTATGCCTCTTCTGAGCCTTGTGATAATTCTTAAGGCAAGTAAAATATTGCAGTCCACAGTCATGCCACACTGTGATCTGCCAATTAACAATGACAGCAGAGAGGAAAGGGAAGATCTGAGCAAAGGCTTCAGGCCAACCACAAGCTCTCCAGGACAAACCTGAGTGACAGTTTCTACAAATATCAACCATAAGAATGAATGAAACAAGTTTTCCAAGTGGAATGGACTACACAGTCAAACACCTTTATTTTTCAGCCCCATCTACACACCAAAGAGAGAAGTCGCTGTGGGAATCCTCACCTTTTCATTCAAAATACAAGTACAAGTAAGAAGTTGACTCTTAGCCCTAAAATAAAGTCATACTGTTTATGTACATACAGTGGCTCAAAAGAGCCATGTAATTCAGCTCACTAATCTTCCTGGTTCCAACAGTCTGGAAGTACTCGATAATTACCTATTTGTCCTTGTCTCATTAACTTGTACTGACTCTTTACATGCTTATATATGTACTCGTTAGAATGTAAACTCTTGGGGAGTAGGGATGATTTCATTCTTCATACTGGTATTTCCAACTCTTAACACATAGAGAGTGGCCTAGGGACAGACAGGTAGTTTCACTGGCAGAGGTAACTTCAGTGAGCAAACTCCCTCTACCAATTCAGGTTGGCACCTGCTCTGGTCTTTGGGAGGAGAGACCTAAAGCACCAAGAGGCTAAAAATGGGCAGTATATTTCAGAGGTAGGACTTGAATCCATCAGTCAACATTTACCAAGCACCTACTATGTGCCAGGCGCTGTGCTAAGCCTGGAGATACAAAAAGAGGCAAAGGACAGTCCCTGTCATCGATGAGCTGACAATCTAACAGGAGACACAACATGCAAACAAATATATACAAAGCAACATATATATGTATGTATGTATGTGTGTGTGTGTATGTATGTATGCATAAACAATCCTCTGATGTTTCTCAGTTGCCAAGAAGCTTTAACAGCTTAAAACTGAGCTAAGACTTTTGGAACACACCCTGCAGTAGGCGCTTGATAAATTTCTGTTGATTAATTGACTGATCCCCATTCTGCAGATGAGAAAACTTGAGACTAAAGGAAATAAAAGTCACTGGCTCATGATTACACAGGAACCTAGCTAAGTGTCAGTCAAGGAATATTTACTAAGCTCCTACCCTGCAAAAGGCACTCTATGAGGCTCTGGGTTCACAAAGTCAGTCCTTGATCTCAGGGAGCTTACAGTCCAATGGATGCAATAGAAAGAGGCCGGGTCTCCACACTTCTGCTGGTCCCTTCAGGTCCACCCCTGCTTTTCAGGTCCCTCTTTATGGGGTGCACTTTCCTCTCTGGAATGTAAGCTCCGGGAAGGCAGGGGCTCTCTTCCTGTTTCTGTTTGTATACTCAGGACTTAGCACAAGGCCAGGAACACACAGTAAGCGCTTAATAAGTGCTCGCTGATTTGGGCGCTTATAGTCTACAGTGGGATAGGAGGAGGCCAGGTCCCTGCCTCCCTGCTTCTAGGCTCCCTCTTATCGGGACTTTCCTCTTTGGAAAGGAAGCTCTGGGAGGGCAGGGGCTCTTTCTTTCTGCTTCTGCCTGCATCCCTCCCCCCCCCCCCGGCCTGGCGCATCCAGTAGGCGCTGAATAAATGCTCGCTGAGTGGCCAGAGAGGGAGGAAGGGTCGCGGCCCTGGCCGGGGCCTCCTCACCTTTCCTGCGCCCGATGGTACACTCCTTCTTCCGCAGCAGCACCGGGGGCTCGCCCTCGGCAGCGCCCAGGCGGATCAGCCTCCCCCAGGGCTGCTCCATCCGGACTCACATCGGCCCCGCCCGGTCCCGAAGAGGGAGGCACCTCAGAGCCGCCGCTCCCCCGGCCCCCTCCCTCAGCTCCAGGCCCGGACCCGGCTCGGCCTCTGCTCCTCCAGCCCCCGGGCCTTTCCTCCTTCCGTCCTGCTACGGGTCAAACGCTCGCCCCGGGCCCGGCCCTGCCTCGGACCAGCGAGGTTGCGTCGGGGTCGGCAGCTGTGTCTGCGCCTGCGCCGGGCACCGCGCCTGCGCCCCTGGCTCGAGCCCGGGGGCCCCGAGGCTGTGCTCCTGCTCGGGCCTGGGCTGCCTGGCCTGTTCTCCGGCTGCCCTGGGCTCTGCCCACCTCCGCTGTCAACAGACATCGCCAAGCCATCAGCTGATCCGATCCGGGGTGGGGCCAACCCTGAAAACACCGCTAGTGATTGGGCCCCAGCCATTCGGAGGCCAAAAGAGAGAGCGGCGGCTAGAAGGGCGCGGAAATGGACATAGAGATGAACTGCGAGGATACTAGAAAGTCATCCAAGCCGCCGTCAGGTGGGGCGGAAGGAGGAGCGTGGGCAGCCATCTTTGTTTTGGGCATGGGCTTTCCGTGCTTTGTTCATTCTGACCCATTGCCCTGAAGCCATGACGGTGGCCATTTTAGATTAGGGCAGAGGTAAGAGAACTGGGACTAGAGATGGGAGTTGGGGTAAAGAAGAATCTGAGAAAATCTTAGGGGCCCCGTGGAGCAGCATCTGAGCAGGAATCCTGCCATCACACAGCGTAGCACTGGGATAAACCGCAGAGATCTAGGCCAACCCTCTCATTTTACAGATGGCGAGACCCGAGGTCACGCAGCTAATGAGTGACAGACAGAATCAGAATTTGAGACCTAGAACTCCTTCCTCCAAATCTAGCGCCTCCAGAACATCTCTTCCATCTGTCCGCTCTCTCCATTCACACAGTCACCGTCCTGGCTCAGGCTGTAGCCCAGGCTATTGAAATAGCTGCCTCCTTGCTCTGCAGCCCTCCCTCAAGCCTCTCCCTTCTCTGGCTTATCTGTCCTCCATACAGAGCCCCAAGAGATAGTGTCCAAGTACAGGCCCTAGGAGCAAACAACAAACGCCTGTTTAACAGGAAAAGCTCGTTACAGTCTGGCTCCAGGCTTATTGTAGTGATAGAAAATAGTAATTGCATCATGTTTGATAACAGATAGCATAAATTACATATGAAATGGCAACATATAATTATATCAAATATGTAAGTAGATATATAATTATGTGTCAGATTATGTGTAATAAATATCAATGCATAACTAAATATAAAATAAATAATACATTATACATGATAAACTATATTGATATTAATTATATAATAAATAATATCAAGATATAATTACATATAAAATATATAATTATCCATGTGCAATTATTATATATGATAAATAATATTAATAAATAACTGATTGGTTGGTTGGATGTTATCTTTAATTCTCAAAGAGGACCGAAATGACATCACTATGTTAGAGTCAAGTTACAGCACATCCAACTGGCTGATCAGAACAATATGAGCTCAGAATGCTCTACCACAGGTTGGGCATAAGTAATCCATGTGAACATTTGAGGTGGATTCTCTAAATTTGCACATTTCACCTTTCTTTTGAGCTACTTCAAGTCTGTTTTGCTCATAGAGCACAGTACCTTCTCTGATGAAGGTATGCCATGCTAGGCAGGTCCTGTGCCAGTGTCTCCCACGTTACACAATCAATTCCAAAGTTCTTCAGAGAGACCTTGAGAGTATCCTTGTATCGTTTCTTCTGACCACCAGGTGATGGCCTTCCTTGCGGGAGTTCTCCATAAAACAGTCTTTTTGGCAAGTGTACATTTGGTATTTGAACAACATGGCCAGCCCATCATACTTGTGCTCTCTGTAGTAGTTTAAATGCTTGACGGTTTAGTTTGAGAAAGGACCTCAGTGTCTGATATCTTATCCTGCCAGGTGATCTTCAGAATCTTCCAAAGACAATTGTAATAGAAGAGATTCAGTTTCCTGGCATGGTGCTGGTATACTGTCCAGGTTTCACAGGCATACAACAATGAGGTCAGTACTATGGCTCTGTAGACCTTCAGTTTGCCAGGTAGTCTAACACCTCTTCTCTCCCACACTTTCCTTCAGAGCCTCCCAAACACTGAGCTAGCTCTGACAATGTGTATGTCAACCTCATTATCAATGTGTACATCCCTGGAAAGTATACTACCAAGGTAAGTGAACTTATCCATAGCTTTCAAAACTTCTCCATTTGCTGTAACAGATGGTTCCACATATGGATGGTGTGGTGGTGGCTAATGGAGCACCTATGTTTTCTTGGTGTTAATTGTTAAGCCAAAATGAGCACAAGCAGCAGAGAATCAATCCATACTTTGTTGCATCTCAGCTTCAGAGGCTGCATTGAGTGTACAATTATCCGAAAACAAAAAAGTCATGCACCAACACTCCCTCCACTTTAGGCTTGGCTTGTAACCTTTTCAAGTTGAAGAATTTACCATCAGTACAATAGTTGACCTTGATGCCATGTTCATCCTCATTGAAGGTATTTGACAACATGGCTGAAAATATCATGCTAAAAAGCATGGGAGCAAATATACAGGTCTGTTTCACTGCACTGGTGACTGGGAAAGCACAAGAGCATTGTCTATGCTGTCATGAAATTGACAAACAATACTCATGAACTTTTCCAGGCAACCAAATTTTTGACATAATTTTCCATAAGCCCTCATAAGTGACAGTGTCAAAGGCCTTGGTCAGATATACAAATGTTGTGGACAGACTTCTGTTCTTCTCCTGGCATTTCTCCTGGAATTATCAGGCAGCAAACACCATATCGACCATTCCTTGGCCCTTTCTGAAGCCACTCTGTTTCTCATGTAGATGACCATCTTCCAGGTGAAGGATCAGCCTATCAAGGAGGACTCTGGCAAGAATCTTGCCAGCAGTGACTAAGAGAGAGACCCCACTGTGATTGTCATGGGACAATCTATTTCCTTTTCCTTTATAGAGATGGACAATGGAGGCATCCTTGAACTCCTGGAGGATAACTGCCTCTCACCATATAACCTGGAAAATTTCAATCAGCTTTTGTATGAAAAATGGACCACCCTCCCTTGTAAATCTCATATGGAATAGAATCAGCACCAGGTGCTTTGCCACACCAAAGGAGCCTAATGACATTCAAAAGCTCTTCAGTTGGAATTTCAGCTAGGGAGGGATTGACTTCAATCTGAGGTAAATGGTCAGTGGCTTCATCCTTGATTGATGATGGTCTGTTGAGAACACTATGGAAGTATTCAGCCCATCTCCCTAGGATCATGTCCTTATCACTAATCAATGTGGTTCCATCAGCACTGAGTAGGTGAGATGCACCATACGTCTTTAGTCCATAAATAGCCTTCAGGGCATCATAAAAGCACTTTGGATTGTTACTATGAGCATGAAACTGAATTTCGTCTGCCTTCTTACTGCATCTCTTTAAATTTTGATTGTACTTTACTTTTGATGGAATTAAATTCTGCCTTCTTAGAGATGGATGCATTATCCTGCTGGTAAACCCTGTGGAGTTCTTGTTTTTCATTTAGCAGCTTCTGAATTTCCTTATCATTTTCATCAAACCAGTCTTGATGTTTGCAAGTATTCTGACCCAGATGAGCAAACACAGCGCTGTACACCAAATCTCTGAAAGCTGCCCACTCCTTTTCTGCTCCACTGTTGCTCAACTTTCCCTCCAATTAGCAACAAACTGTTCCCACTCAGAGAAGCACTCTAATCTATTGACATTGATTCTTCTGGTAGTTATGTTGCCATGGGGCCTTCGCTTTTGTTGAATGTGAATATTTAGCTTGGAGAGGATAAGTCTATTATCAGTCCAGCACTCTGTGCCATACATTGCCTTTGTTACTTTCACATCTTGTCCGTCTCTTCTCCTTGCAGTCACATGGTCTATTAAATGCCAATGTTTGCTGTGAGGGTGCACCCATGAAGTTTTATTGCATTTAGGTAAACGATGTGATGAGGTCATGAGATGCACAAGTCTTCCATAGTAAGTGACCATTGCTATTGTGGTTTCCAACTCCATTCCTCCCTAGGACTCCTTGCCAAGTCTGGTAGTCTGAGCCTACTCTATCATTAAAATCACTCAGAATTATAAATTTGTGCCCTTTAGGCACATTGATGATAAGGGTCTCCAGGTCTTCATAAAATTTTTCTTTGACCTCATTAGGGTTCATCAAGGTGGAAGTACAGGCACTGATGATGGTGGCGTGGTGTTTTCCTGCAAGTGGCAATCACGTTGTCATGAGTCTGTCATTCACTCCTTTCGGCAGGCATACAAGCTTCTTGACTAGATTAGTTTTGATTGCAAAACCTACACCAAATTCAGTAGTCCTCTTCACTGCAGCCAATCCAGAAAAACACATATCCAGCTCTGACTTCAGTAAGCTGGCCTTCATTTGCCAGCCTTACTTCGCTCAGGGCTACTTTTTGGATATGATACCTGCCGAGTTCTCTTGCAACAAGAACTGTTCGTCTTTCAGGTCTACTGGATTTTGTGTTGTCTATAAGTGTGTGCATATTCCATGTACCAATGGTGAGTGGACTCATCTTTGCAGACATTTTTGTACTTTTTTTGTGTTTTGACCGCAGAGTGGGATCTCTGCCTGCTAAAGTAATCATTCTAGGATTGAGTAAGCAGATGATTTTTAGGGCACCTTTTCTAGCTCCTTTCTCACTCTAGGAGATGAGCAGTGCAACCCTTAAAAGGCTGCTCAGATACCCAGGGGGCTGCTGAATCCCACTGCTGCTTCCAGTGAAAACATTACCTTATAGCCCAGGCTGCCTGTGGGCAGGGTTGTGACCATAGCTCCCAGTGTACCCATACCCACTGCTTTGTCACTTTCTTGTTTTTTGTTTGTTTGTTTGTTTGTTTTGTTAGGCAATGGGGTTAAGTGACTTGCCCAGGGTCACCCAGCCAGTAAGTGTTTTTATGTGTCTGAGGCCAGATTTGAACTCAGATCCTCCTGAATCCAAGGCCAGTGTTCTATCCACTGCACCACCTAGCTGCCCCTATCACTTTCTTGTTGCCACAACACTTTGAGATAGGTAAAAATGGTAAAATGGTATGGGTGGTGTGTTTTTGATTCATGTATAAACTGTATTTAAGTGAGGCAGAGT